CCCCCGCGCGCCGGGCTGGGGGGTGGGGGCCGCTGCAGAGCCGTCACCGGCTCGTCCCGGCCGGGCGCTCCTCAGCCCCCCAAAGCGGGGCAGTCGGGCTGTGGGGAGCAGGTCGTGGCCAGTGATAACTTTCCAGCTGTGCCTGGGGACTTTCTGTAGTTGAGCCCCGGCCAAAAACATTCCAGAGACCGTTCTACAAACTTCACCGCGTAGCTGATTGCATTCCTCTGCTTGCGAGTCACTGCTGAATTTGCTAGTGTAGCTGTAATCCCAGCAGGCTTCTAGGATGCTTCCTGGGCACCACCTATCTAGCACCAGGGACGGAGTCAGGAAATGACCCATGGGCCAGCATGGTCGGGAATACCACATCCTCACAGCGACTCCGTTTAGCTGTTCTTCTTCCTGAGTAGGCGTATTTGATTTTTTAATCTAGTCACAGTCCTCTCACCCACCGGCGTCACAGTGTTACATTCTTAGGAATGCAATTAAATGACTTAAGATATGGCTTGTATTTGTCTTTCTTTCTGCGTATGTAGATATCTGTCTAGCGATCTCAATACTATCGACATGTTTTTGTTTTGTTTTGCCAGTGTGCGGCAGGGATGAGGGAGGGAGTTACGAACAATTATTTTGTCCTGTGAGTACTAAAAGACTTGGACAACAGAAAATATTATTGCTGGAAAGTAATAATAATAAAACAAATGCTTATTTTTCCACCAAAAAGATAAATCGATATAAACTTGGGAAAATGTCTGCTGGCAGTTTCACTGCATTAATTTAATTACTTTCCAGACACGATACAGTGTTGGCCTGCAGAGTTGGCACTGAATCCCCCATTCGTCCATGTGGAGCTCCTCGTGATGCCTCTGGTGTTACGGACATGCTCTGCAGTAGAGTGGAAGAGTTGTGTAGCATATCAAGTTTGCATTTTCCAGGGTAGCGTATTCGGAAGAGAATGTCAGCTAATGCAGAAGCAAAAACAGCGAATGTAGTAACGCCATTTGTAGTTGGCACACGCAGACATGCAAACACTGTAGGTTTTTATGCATGGACTGTTGTAATACTGCAGATGAATGAATGCCTGGGTTCTGTGGAAATCCATAGTCATTTGTACACTAGTTTCCTAGGAGGCAGGAAACAGAGCTTGTTAGTTAGCAGGCCTCATTTTCTGCATACCTTTATGCATGCTCAGAGCGCAATTTGTCTATTTTTATTATAGGCTCATTCACCAAAGAAACAGTTCACATTTATGTATGTACTGATACAATGCAGATACAATTTACGTTTATAAACAGGATTTACATTAATGCCTACCGTAATAGGCAGTCCTGTTGTTGTTTTGTGTTTGTATCAGAGGTTGATTCTAGTGAAAAAAAAAATTGGTTTAGTGGTACCAGTACACATTTTCTTAATGTGCACAGGGCTGGAGACCGTTCTAGAAATCTCTGGCAATCTCCCCGTTTTCTGGCAATGAGTATGCACCCACACACACCCACACACACCCACACACCCATAGTTTACATATACATTGTATATGTCACCATCAAACCATTTTTTGTTTAAGTTTTCCACTGGAGTTTCCTGTTCTTATCTTTTTTTCTTCTTGAGATGTTTGGCTAGGCAAAATTTGGGATCATATAGATTGTTTAACTAATACGAAGAAATTAATAGTGGAGTCAGAAATCTTTGGCATAATTCTGGTTATATACAAATTTTGGAATACAGGAAGAATTGTATGACTAGATATGTGAAAGATTTGCAAATAGCAGCCAGTGAGCTCAGTGCCTGCGGTCTTGTAGAGCGGCGTTATCAGTGCTGTTTAGACGGCGCTGAATGTTCCTTTTTCTGTTCAGTTTTGTTGTCCTTTCTTTTTCTTTCTCTGGAAGAACTACCTCTCATCCAGCTATACGTACATCCTTTCCAGAGCTCCTAGTGCATCCAGATTTCTGAGGTGTCTTGCATTTTCCTTGTCCTGAGAGAAAGTGCCCAATCCGAAATAAGAACTATTTTCATACAAGGTTAACTACAGTTATAGTGCTAGCAGTACTAAAAATGATGACTTCCCCAAGAAGACAAAGGATAAAATTGCCCATAACCTGCTGTTATAGTAGTGTTGAGATAGTACTTAACATTTCTGCCATTTAGTGCATGAGAGCAAACAGAAACCAGAAGCACTGGACATGTCGCTCAGCGGACTTAGAAGCTAGCTGTTAATCAGCTCCCTTTCATAACTGTATTTTCTCTCACAGGAAACATTTTTATTTTATTACCATTTTTATTAACATGTTGAAAACTTGCTTGTATGACTACTACAGTCTTGATCAAAACACTGGGGGGTTAAACCAGGGATCCTTGGAATTAAAAATACTAGTCTTTTTTACTTAAGTTTAAGAGCTGTGATTTCTGTAGTGAGCTATATGGTCTGAGTCAGGAATGTCACGGACTGGCTAACGGGCTGCAGCTTTTAGCTCATGGTCTCTTTCAAGGGATGCATGCAGTGCTTATCAGAAAAAATGAGGCTAGTTTTAGTAGATATGGTTTCCCTCATCTAATATGGAGAGATTCCTACTGACTCTTAGTGATTAGATTTTCCTGTGTGCTCAGTTCTGTATTTCAAAATGGCAAAACAAATTATTTACGAGAAGAAACTAATACTTGATAGCAAACACTTCTGCTTCACTACTGTGAGAAGTCACAGCCTGTGATCTGAAGCGTAAATGCTCTTTGAGGCCCAAAGACATGTATGTACCCATAGTAAGAAACAACAGTGCCCTATACTTCTTGACAAACTGTGGAGGTCCTGAAGACCGGTGTTGTATCTCTTCTTCTAGTTAATTTTTGGGAAACTTGAGGCTTTGTGGAACAGGATTCTGTCTAATTATAAAGCAGAAAATCCAGTTAAAGTGTTTAATTAAGCCATATTAGAAATTTATGAATACAGTTCTATTTTATAATTGCTTCCTTCTGTGTTAACTTCAGGTTATTAAAGATAATCTGTGGCTTCCAGAAGGGATTGAATGTCTGGGAATGACAGGTATGTGACTATTTTAACTCTCTCTGTTCTCAGTCCGTTGGGTTCCCAGGACTCCAAGGGCATGGGTGTGCAGGTGGGCAGGGCACTGGAGTTGTCCCCTGGTTTTACCTGGGCTCTGATTTGGAAAAGCGAGGGAGGGAAGCAGAAGAAATGAAGCAGTCTGGATCTAGAGGCATCCCCTCAGGATTATTACCTGACGTGTAGTCCTACCTAACAAAATCCAGATGGCTCCCAGGATAGGGGTGGGCCTTGCTCCATAGTCTCAGTGTGCAAGAGGAGCTGGAGCCTGACCACCTATACCTGACTGTGGACCTGCCCCTTTAGTGACCTTGGAGCCTTTGGTATCTCTGCCGTGGAGTGCAGTCCTGTAGAGCAGAGGTGGTGGCTGTGCAAGCACTCCTGCTATGTGATTATTGTCAATGCGACTCTCAGTTGTGGCGCTGTGGGGAAACGTTTGGACAGTCCAGCTGCAGAAGTTAGTCTTCTGTGCTTCTGAATTGTTTCCAGGAGGAGTCGCCTTTCCTCAGTAGTCAGAGGGATGTGTAGTACAGGGCAGCACTGCCCTGATGCCCGAAATTCAGCGTTGTGGAAAACAACCTTATTACCAGAAGCTGATCAGGACCTTGTTCCTTTTCAGGTGCTAAGTTAACCACTATGCGTTTGCTACCTGTAGCTAACACCATAGCAGTACTTGACTCAAAGCTATTTTTGAAGACCTCAGCCACTACAATAGCTGATGTACTCTGTCTTAGACAGAATTGTAAAGGACTTATAGAAATAGGGGTCTGGAGGTGACGCTGGGATGCAAATACTCTTTATGCTGTGGATCAAGTATAGTTGTCACTGGTCTCAGATATGCAGAGCATCTGCAGTGCTGTTTTATCTAACCTAACTGAAGTGGGGTAGCCTTGTCCTTACGAGAGTTACTTACAGCTTGGAAGAGCTGTGTCTGAGAGCTGACTGCCACAGACTCTTTATGTATGTTTGAACAGATCTCTTCGTTTCTCTGGGTCCCTAGACTTCATTTTTTACATGGAGATAATAAATAGTATGTTACCTCACCAGAGTGTAGTGGAGATGAATACACTGAAAGGTTATGACATCCTCCTATAGCACATTAATGGGCCAATGTAGTGTCTGAAATAGAAACCCCAGTGGCGGAGGCTGCAGTTCCCCGGGCGATGACTTTCATAAGATGCATTTGCCAAAAATTACACGGTCTGACGCAGTCATCTAGTGAGATGCCTCTAATTTCTTTGCCCTATGCCATGGCTAATTCAGAAATGAGTTTATTAATTTAAATATGAAAGCAAATAATTCAGATTTGTTTAGCTTCCGTGTTTTTTTCCTGTGTTTATTCAGTGTAATCTTTGCTGCTTGCATCTTCCTTTCTGATGGACTGCGAAATTATTAATGTACCATCCACTGAGAAAGGAAATGCATGCTGTTTTGTAGTTCAGAAGAACCTTCTGGCAATAGAGAAAGTACGATGATTGGAGAATTTTGACGCATTTTATCTTCTTATGGTAGTCATTGGTTGAATCTTTTCCATTTTATTAGGACTTAAATGTAGATGTTGCAGGAAGGGCTGCTGCAAAGCACTGAATTGTATGCTTGATTTTATGGCTGGGAATTATCCCATTCCAATAAACAAGATTTTTGAACATATTTAAAACTAAGTATTCAGTGGTTGGCTTTATCAAGATGTTAACATTCTTATTTCTTATTTAAGAAACTGTTGAAAAAAGCAGTGAGATTGAAAATTCTGGATAAAACATTTAGCATTGAGAAGGCAGCAGATAGAAGGCATTGAAAAGGCAGATAGAAACTTTGTGACAGCACACCAGTTTTAGGACTTTTGTTGGCAAGTTTTTTTGGAGTAGTTTCTGGATAAGATGAAAAAGAATTGCCCAATTGGGGAAAACAGTGGATTTGTGAGTTATGTTCAAGTCTTTGCACATTCAAAGCATGGCTTGGAAAATAGATTGGTTTTGTCTCTTTGATTCCCATCGTTTCCTTGACTTTGTAACAAGAAAAGCTAATGACAACATTCGAAATTGCTACCTTTACCTGTTTGTTGTTGTATGTAATTGAAAGGACTTTAAATTGGATCGTATATCTTGGATGATTTTATGGACAGGGAATAATTCAAAACAACAACAACAAAAATCTAGTAAACACATGTGTTTAACCCCTTTCTTCCCCACTAAAATAAGGCAAAATAACTTGACGTTTTGCAGATTTGGAATTCAAGGGGAAAACGAATCAGACTGCAGATTTGGGACTTGAAATATGCAACCTTTAGGAGGAGAGCTAAGAATTACAATGACTGTCTTTGTTAAATTGCTATTTTTTCCCCCCAATGTGAACTAGTTTTTAATACTGAACTTGGCATTTCACACACTTGTAACAGTCTTTGCTTTCCTACTGTATATTGAGAGGATGGTATGTGTTGTCAGGGAATGGGAGCCTTAAGGACATATTGGACTCTTTACTGCCAGTTTATTACAGGAGTGTTTCATTTTGTATCATCCTATTTAATTGTTGTGCCAATAATTGCCTTCATCTCAACTTGTATCAAGAACAAGTAAGGCACTGTAGATCTTGGGTGTTATACTCACCCCTCTAATGGTGGTCCACAGATACTAATCTGTGCCGCTATCTTGTTCAGGACTCAGCCCTTTTAGTAAAGTGGAGAAGGCTTGTGCTTTAACATTGAAGATCCCTGTTGTTACTCAAAACTAACTTTTTAGCAAAGAGCATTATAGCAACCATATAAGCAGATAACAGTTTATTTTCTTAGATACCCGACCTTCCAAGCATAGACCCACCATGACCCCAAACTCCACATGGTAGGTGCACTGTGTATCACACTGGATCCACTCTGTATTTGCACCCCCTGAGCAGCAAGCAAACTCAGGGAGAGCTGGGGGTGTCAGACTTCTCCTTCAGAAGAGTATTGCATGTGCCACGAATATGGCTGCTGGAAGACCAGCAGAGCAATAGTTCACCAGCCCAAGCAGTAGTGCACAAAGCAGTGGAGTTGACAAATGATTACCGGGGGGTGGATAGCAAAGAAAATCGAATACCACTGAATAGCAGAGAGTCTTCTGATCAGTTGTGCATCTGCCACTTCATATTGTGGCATTGCACATATGTGGGACTGAATGAGTGCCGTTGTAACCTCACTGGTAAAATGTTGCACCGATCTTCCAGCTCTTTCAGGTATATTAACATTCATTTTCACATTTTTGTTTTGTAATTCAATATAAAGTTGACAAACGGCCGCTGGTAATTATCTAACTATCTAGGAATGTGCCATTTAAGACAGGGTTCTGCTATATGTGTTTCTACTGGGTTTGTGGAGGATTAAATCGTTGGAAAATATTTTAATAATGTGGTAATGAAAGTATGGCAAAGTATTTAACAACTTGATAATAGATTGCAAAAACGTGGACTGTTTATTTTCTGTCATTAAGGAAAACAAAACAAAATCCCATCTTAAAGATGATCTATAGTCTCAAAAAAAGATGATGTATAGTCTCAAGATGATGTATAGTCTGAAGATGATGTATAGTCTCAAGTCTCAAACAGAAAGTGAAATTATTCCTTTTGTTGAGCTATTTCCTTTGACATCTTCAGGTGAAAAAGCCCCAGACTGAGCCTCATGCTCTTCTACTCTGTTTTTTTGGGAAATGTTTTGGCCTGAGGCACTGTATTCTGGGAGGTCCCCATAGTACCCTGGCAAGCCCAGCGAGAGGTTGCTGTTGTTTGGGCTGGCCAGTTTGGCAGTGGGTCTATCTGAAACTCTTCTTTTGCTTAGCAAAGCTGCTGTTTTGAAAAGGAGAGGGAATAATTTCAGATCAGAAACTGGTGGCAATGAGGAGCACGCAGCTTAAATAATGGCTTTTTTGAAAACAGCCAGAAAAATGGCAAAGATTGAAACTGTATGAAGAAAAGAGAATAGAATGAATAAAGAGACTGCAAAATCCATAAGAGAACTAGGATGCACCTCTGAAGAAGCACTGACAATGGTGTGCTCTTTTTTCCACGCAACAGGATATCAAAAAGAAAGCTCGACGCTTGTTAGTGAAAGGCCTCAAGAGTCAATTTTTAATATTTTCCAACCTCAGATGAATCTATTTGTAACAAAACCAATTTTGGACTAGAGACCAAAGATAGACTTGAAAACTTTGGAATGTTTTATACCTGTAACATCCTTTCTAAGTTACTGAGCATTCAGCTTTTCAAGCAACCATCAGCTATCTACAATCTACCTAGGGCCTTATCTGAAAAGAGACAGAAGGTGAATTGATAAATACAGTTACTGTTGTCTTGAAGTGACGAGTGTGCAACAGGTTACATGAACAAACAGTTACCTCCTTGTAAGACAGCTGGAGTGATATGAATAATAATTGTCTAGTGACAGTTAACTATGTGTGGATCAATAAAGATTTTTTATTTAACTGACAGCTGATGGTACAAAAAATGAGATAGAAAAGTACTGCCTTACTGGCAAGGGAAACCAGGGCATTAGGAAACAGCATGACTATGTGTGGTTTTAAAAGTTAGTGTGAAAGATGAGAAAGAATCTGGGGCAAGGGGGTGGCAGAGCGTTGCTGTACGGACATGCATCACGCTGATGGTCTCTCTTTGAGCAAAGACCTTCCACTGAGTGGGGGGAAGATGCAGGTGGATTTGCAGAAGTATCCTTTTAATCATCAGCAGTGTTGAGGCTGCTCAACATAACATCAAGAACCTGCAAAATCCCCAACCTCTAATTACCCATGATGGAGCAGCCAAATAACATGGACAAAGCAGAACTTGAAAACAGAATCGTTTGTGTAATTAATAATCAAGAGATTTACTGAGACGCAAACATAATTCGTCAATTAAATTGGTTACTGAGGACTTGATACTCTCCGAAGGGGAGTATCAGGAATTGCTGTCATCTGAAAAGTGCAGATGGGTGCGGTGAGAAAGGTCTACACAGGACACAAGAACAAAAGAAAGTTCATGAAGCAATTACCCTCTTCTTGGCTGACCTCCCTCATCCAAAATGCACAAGAAAGAAATGCTCTGCTGTAAAAGAAACCCTCTGAAGGCCTTAGTTGCTCAGCAAGCCCCAGACATGTTGCCATATTGACTTTTGATTCTAGGAAGCTGTAAGAAGAAGCTCCAGTTAAGGTTCCTATTTACTCTGAAACAAAGTGCATCTTCTCTAGTTTGGTGAGACAATGAAAAAGAGAGCTGGTGCTCCACCTGTGTTCATAAAAATGGGGTAGCAATTGCATTAACATCTTAGAAGCACAGCAAATATAAAATGATTTTTTTCAGACTTTGGATGTGTCCATACAAAACCGAGGACTACGCTTGATTCTGTTGTCAAAACGCAGGTATAATGTCATTTGAGGTGGGGCAGGCAGGTTGTGCAGGACCGCCAGGAGGCCTGTGCCCGGTTGTAGCAGCAGCTGGAGGCCCAGTGGGATTCAGCAGGGCATCTCATGGCACTAGATAGTGACGTATAGGAAACAGAGCAGTGCTCTGTATCATGCTTGTCCTCCTGGAGGGTGCCATGGGCCCAGTGGGCTCAGGCTGGTAGCTAGCAGGTCTGTAAGCTTCTGGCTCCAGCTTTGAGTTCAGCATCAGGGTCATCCTGATATAGCTGAGTGACTTGGGCTTTCGCTTACGTAGTATTGAAACTGCAATATGGCATGCATGACTACCCTGAAAAAATACCAACTGAACAGGCATGCAGAAATTTGGTGTTGTTAGTACACATACAATAGCAAGAAAAGCTTGGTAAGAATCCCTGAATTAGTCCGAGTCTGTTGCATTCTGTAACAGTGTTTTAAGCATGTAGGTAAAACCTGGGGAAGTGTATTAAAACTGACTGTAAAATATAAATGGCGAGTTTTTCCTGGCCAGAATGTGCACAGTTTTATCCAGTGCAAACCATTCCCTCCCAAATAAAAAGCATGCTATTCCTGCGGTCAGTTCATCTGTGACTCCAGTTTAGTGATTGACCTTTCCATGGGAAGAGAGGTGAAGCTCCCCAAGGTATAGATGTCCATCCGGGTTCTCTAAGCAATAGGACTGTATCTCATTGGTTTGGTTAACAGAAATCTTTCCAGCAATTCGTGCTCACCAATTCTTCTAGGCATCAATTTCCTTTTCAGATGCGAGTCAGAATTATGAGAAATGATATCGGACCAGCATTTTACAGAATATTCTATATAAATGTATAAAAATGTGCTGTGTGTCTTTTCTATTTACAGCTAACAGTGTATCTGTATGTTGTTTTTTCCAGCAAAACAGCGCCTTTTCGAAAAAAGAAACTTCTCACATTAATGAGATTGTCAGTATATTCTGCTTTCTGTATCTCATTAACCTCTAATAGGTTTAAAAAATTGAAAACTTTATAGAACAGTGTCATTTGCTAAAAATTTTTGCTTTCCAGTGAGGTTTTTTTACTCACATGAATATATATTGCTAATGATTAAAATATGGGATTTAAAAATAAGTGATAAATGAAAACTGTTAGGCAAAGACTGAAAAATGTGTCTTCTTTGAAGGCAGAAAACCAACTATCGTTTTGAAATTTGAGTGACATTCTTTTCACTTTATTCAGCAGCTTTACTTTTATTATAATTTAGACTATAGAATTACTGATTTTTATTTTAAGCTCCTTTTATTAGTGTCATGGATGCTTTTAGTTTAGTAGATGGAAGTTAAGCGATAACAAATAGTTATTTCAAAGCTCTTCTTATAATCTTTCCTAAGAAATATGAGACAGATTATAGGATAGCGTTGATATTCGTAATTACTAAATGGTGAGTATTTGATTTGATGACACTCCATTTCAGCTGGAACCCTTACTCTACTGAGAAGTATTTTTATTCTGAATATGTAGTGAAATGTTTAATGGTTAACTGGCAGACTGCATCTTTGAAGCAGAACACCCTTAGCACTTAGGCCACTCACGTTATAGAGTGCTTCAATTATTTACGCTTTTCTGAAAATTTTCTCTGGGTTGAAAATATTAACAGTTGATTTATGGCTGAAACCTGTTAATTCATGCATAATATGCTTTACGTTTAAGTGATGAGTTTTCCTAGGCAGGAAGCGCAGTTCTGTGCTAAGCCCTGCTGGGTTATCTGGGGCAAGTCACCCCACAGTCACGTCTCTGCTTCCCGCCTAGCCTCCTGCCTTGGTTGCCTATTGAGACGTTAATGCTCTGGTGGGGAGCATGTTTTTCACTGTGTGTGGAGCACCAGGTATTGCCAGTCCCCTCCTGGACTCGAGCTCGCCCAGGCTGCCGCAGGGGCCAGCGAGCGCGGGCGAGGTGCTCTCGCTCTAACGTGCAGCGTGGCCTTGGCTTTTGGCAGGGTGGTTGCCTCCAGCCCGGGATGCCCGCGACCAGCTGTTGGCTTCGGCAGCCTCGGGTGATCAGTGGAGCCATTCGCTGTTTGCCTTGATACCCTCGTGGACAAAGAAGATCTTGTTCAAACGAGAGTCTTCTGTTAACCACCAGCTGGTCAGTAAAAGATGATTTGCCACTTTTAATATCTATAAGGATCATAGCAATAATATCAGAAGTGGATGCTGGGGGTTGATTGCCTAATTAGTAATAGTTTCTAATTCTGTCTCAGGTGATTACGTTCACTTGAGGTGGCTTCAGCAATAGCAGCTTCTAGTTGTGAGATTTCCAAATAATTATATTGACAGGTACAGCTATGTGACTGTCATGTAAATTCTGATAGACACATAGTAATAAAATGCATCTGTGTTGTTTGGTGAACTTTGTCTCTTCATGCATGAACTTTTGTCTCAGTGTATTTTGTTACGATAGCCAGGAGATGAATACATCAGTGAAGATGCTAGTAATTACACGTAGGGATAAATAGTTGATACAAATTTGGACTAACTAAAAATACTAATTGGGATAACAAAGATCACATATTTGTAGGTGGTTAATACTGTAAATTTCTTTCTCACATTTCATTGTTGCACAATTTAACTTGTGCTGCAGTTTGTGAATTATCCTAGTTTGATGCACTGTGTAGATTTTTCCCCTTCCTCCACAGCCTGAAGATGTGTCCAGAACTGCAGTATCTTCAGGATTTGGAGTAACCCTTCAGAAATGTGCTGTGGTAAGCTTCTTTATAATTCACTTGTTAATTTGATGGGAAATTGGCACTCGAATGTCTCTTAAAAAGTTGGAACAGAATTGTGCCCACGTTGAGTACTTGGGAAAACGTCCATTTTGATGTTAAGAAGTTAACTCCTTCCGCAGTAGGAACAGTTTTGCAATATTGATTCAAACTGAATGAAATCAGTGAAATCTTTTCACTTTAGAGGATTTTGTGTTTTGACCGGAGTAAATACCTCAGTGTGAATCTATATAAATAAAAACGTGCAAAACCTAATGAACTGTAGATATGAGTAATGAGGCTCGGTAGTGGTGGACAAAACCTTTAGAGAATGAGGTAAGCCCTGTAAGATACTGTTCTGTCTTAATCAGGGGTGGTCCTACCTGTGCCAAGTCTGGACTCTGTTCAAAGGATGGGCTGTTGAGCCCTGCAATGCCCTTGGCGTCTTTGGGAGGCCAGTCACAAAGCCAGCCATAAAAGACCCAGTATGACATGTTCTTGGAATAGTCACTGGGACTTGGCCACAGAACCCTATTTTGTGAGAATAGTTTTAATTTGAATTGTGTAAAATTCTTATGAAGGGCAAATGCCTGCCTACTCTAAGGAATTCTTTAACCTTTGCATTGTAATTTTGCTTTACTTAGGATCAGTTAATAGATTTAGCTAGATGTTATTTTTTCTTTCTTTTTTCCTGCTTTTTGCGCTGGATGAGTCAAGTGTAAATTTTTATACTTATTTCACCTTACCTGTCACATGGGGAGAGAGGAAGTGCATCCAACTTGAGGTCAAATCTGGATTCAGCCATTGAAATGCTGCACATGAAGACAGAGAATTTAGTGTCCGGTACAGAAGAGGTGACAGGACCTACACCAGATCGTTTGCACAGAGACAGGAATGAGTATGCATCACATCTCATAGCACTAGTTACCTGTGATGTTGTTATTGAAATGGCTGCATATCATAATTAACGAGACTGAATAGTGAGCACTTCTGACATAAGAAGCAGTAACACAGAATCTTCTGCCTTATGGTGTACAGATTCTAAATTTTAATATCATAGCTTCTTAGAAAGAGAGTCTGAGACAGTTCTATGTTGTTTTTTCCTGCTACTCATAGCACAGCCTCAACAGGCTCATGAAAAAATGTGAAATGTTGCTGTACAAGATCAAAGTTAGTCTGTTGCAGATGCTAGGATTGTCAGAAAATAATCTGGCAGTGCTAACAGTTAAAATTACTAAAAATTATGCAGTTGTGTGTGAATTGTCTTCCATCTTCAAATGCAGTTCCCGTTTCATGTTCATTTGTTGCCATTTGTGTCGATCCTAATTCTCCTGAACAGATGCTTTCCCGCTAAGAGACTGACTGGCCATATGGTAGTGTTTAGCAGTTTTAAATGAAAAAAAAATTGATTTTGCACATTTTCCTCCCCTTACCCATGAGTAACTCCTCAGCACAGGGCAATGACATATCTTTACTTTTTGAAGACAGGATTCTTCATACACCAAATCGTACAAATACCCTGGTTGAACCTGGAGTGCTTAAATTTTACTTGTGCCTAGAGAGCCCAGTCCCTTTCTTCTTTCTAGAAACGTGTTCCTTTAACAGCTTCATTCCAGAGCGTGATATGAACATTTCTGTGATAGTCCTTCATAATGACAATAATTTTTAGCAGGGCTGAAATAAATCTTTTAATTTTACTGTTTGGCTTTTACTGTGTTCACCTGTTTCATTTCTCAGTCTGCTAAACGTTCTTCTGTTGCAGATCAGCTACTATATGAGCATCCTTTTTTTTCTCTCTCTTCATTTTTCAAGTTTTTCAAATTTATTCTGAAGGAGCCTCTGTTCCTTTCACTTTCATGGTACTTCCTTTCTCATCTTTTCTCCCGATACGTTCTTGCTCTTACTGTGGTTCCTTCATTCTACTCGCCTGTTTACCTGAAGTGATGCCTGTTGCAAGGGTAATAACGTGTGATGTGCTTCAGCGGCAGAGAGAAAATGGAATAAGCACTTAGCATTATCAAGTGCTTCTGTGGGGTTTTGCTCCAGTAATTGCTTGGCAGCATAATCATCTGATCCGAAAGCGTGAAAAAACATCTGCAGGCAAATTAGAGGAACTTAAAGGAGGTATTCAGTGGCCGCTGATGCCAACAGCAGCTGCATACGGTAGAGGTTCTTCCGGGAGGGGTCAAACCCCAAAGCTTCCCCCACCCCTTAATGTCAGTCTACTGTTTTCTCTAGCGCTACCAGAAAAAAAATGACATTCTCTCAATCCCTTTGCCTTTGCTTGTAACTCATTGTCAGTCAAAAATAAGGAAAATAAAAACTTGTCTTTAATATTATTCAGAAATGCAAGAAGCATGCCACCTGAGGAAAATTGCACCAGGAGACAGGTGATACAGCTGTGATATATTTGAAAGGTTACTGTGGTCAGACCTTGAATGAAGAATTTTGTTAAATGAAGGAAAATGAAGAGAAAATGCAAAACTCACTGGAGAAAGAGAATGAACAGCACGTGGGAGTGTGTATTGAACTCTGACAATGGGCAGAAGGACTAGAGGAAGGAGAGGACTAAAGCTCCCATATTCTGTCACCTAATATGGACCTACATGTGCCACTTTGCCTATTTTATTGTAGGAATTTATCTAAATTACTCTCTACGTCTCCTTTCCCTAAACGTAAAATAAATTTGTATCTGATTAGAAGCACAGCAAGAGACCATGAAATTCCCCTCTTTCCCCAGGTCCGTCTTTCAGGGGCGCATATCTGTTTGTGTGCCCAAGCCCATACACACTTATTGTGGGACATAATACCGTATTTATAACGCATGCAGTTTGAACCTTGAGTCTTTCAAGGTGTGTTTTGCTGATTGAATGACTGGGCGAGGGTGTCTGCTTTGTGCCTTTGGGATTTTTTTCCTCTGCTTTTTTTTTCTGTTTTGCATGTGTTTTTTAAACAAGGTTCCAGCCTTTGTGACTGCAGAGGAAAGGTTGAAATGCATGTCGAGTGCATCAGACAGATTCAGAAACCAGGAGAAAGAGAAAATCTGGCCGAAATATATTACTTTTTTAATATTTGATGATTTAAAGTCTCATAAATGTTGGGATCCAATTCAAGCTATATGAATATATGACATTGGAAATACTTTTTGCAGCTATGTTTATGTCTGTTGTTTAGGATTATTATTTTACTTACCGGCAATTATTTGCAGAATCCGGTACAGTAGGTAATTGTTGTCATCCCTCCCCACGCCATAAGATTTGTTTAATACAACTGAGCTGGAGCTTGCTGCAATGAGTTTGGAACATTTAGTGCCGCATAACTACGCTGGTTAGTTATACAATCAGATATATTCAAATGTACTTTAATTATTGTCACTTAAATAGGAAAATGTAAACTAAGCACTAATAATTTAATAAATTTTTATTCCTTATTGGTCCATAAAATGTACTGAAATTTTAATCTGTTTCTATACTGAATTGATAAGAAATGCAGAGATCAAGGATGTATGATAAAATCCTAACTACACAGGTCAGACTTTGTGACTGCCATGAACTTTGCTGGTACAAATTCTGATATCTATATGATATCTATACAATTCATATTTTTAGAACTCATTTCTGTAGGGGCAGCTCTAATGTTTATATCTGCTGGTGTGCAGGTACAAAGTAGACATTTCTTAAAAAATGGAGAGGGTGGGGAAGAAAGATTAGGTCTGAGCCACACTTTAATCATTTAAATAAGTGCTGATTTGGTGTCAGTATTATGGCTTTGATATGCTATCCTGGCCATATTGTAGGTCATACAGATGTACGAAAGTCTACAGAAGTTTAATGTTAAGAATTTTCCAGAATCATTTTATAACGTTACGATCCAGTTCTGTGTATGAGGTATCACAGTGGTATTGAGATTCTTGTTTTCACTTACTTATGGCCCTGCATGAGCTGTTTTCCTGGATTTCCAACTACTGGCTTTCTGTCGTTTTGTCGACAGGCAACAGCTTGACAAACAGAAGATTAAAGTCCCTTCAGGAGTCTGAGATCAAACCGAGTGTGATGTTGTCTGCAGGTCACTCAGAATGCCTCGAGAAAACAAGCTTATGCATATAATAAACTTTTATTAGTAGCCAAGACTAATTTTGCTGTTAAGATACGTATCTTAATGGAGCCATTTTGCTCCATTATAAGTGCTGTGTTATATCACTGTTTCTGTTTTCAGGTGGATGTTCAGCGTGACCCCCAGACTGCACATGTTAGACTTCTAATTAATAACACCAACATGCTGCTTTCAGCAAACATTACAGATCTCGTTCTGCTAGACAATATTACTGGCCTACGTATTCCAAAAAACAGTGGTAATAGGACAACAGATGGTATCCAGATTTACAGGAAAAGATTCTTGCAAGGTAACAAATTCTGCCAAGAGGTAGATGATGATACCCCAAACCGTCCTGATTACACATGTGGAAGAGCATCTGTTCAAATCAAAATATTTAATTATTTGGGGGTTTTTTCCAATTATTTGGGTGTAAGGTAAACCTTAAGCTCCCCAATTATCAGTTAATACAGGTGAAAAACTCTAGGAGAGGTTATTAATTGCTGCAGTTTAAAATTCTATTAACTCACATTTTGGCTCCTGTCTCCGAAGTGCCTCTGATCTCCCAGGCACAGAAGTGAGCCTGTGTGCTCTGTAATAGTCACCGCCATCAAAAAGAGGCAGACTATCTTGTGGGATTATTTGTTTATTTTATTTTATTTTATTTTAAAGCTGCTGCACAAGCAATTTCCAATCATATCTGACAAATCTTGCTTCTTTAGCCAAGCTAAAAAGGTAGAAAGTAAGCTAACACTTTACTGAGCAAATGTTTTAAATAAAAACTAGAGCAGATTGCTTGCTGAGGTATTGAGGTTTGTTGGAATTGCAAAAGCCCATGCAATCTGGCGAGGTGATTCGGCAGAAATAAGGTGGCTCTTCTCAGTATGCAGTCTCTCCAGACTGGGGCAAATTACAAATCGGAGCACGTAACAGAGGGAAAAACGCAAACCCTTGTCAGTCTTGGAGTCAGTCTGTTCCTTAGGTAGCAGATAGATCTAGGTACCTTCATAAAGGAAGTCTTTCCTTTCTCGATTTCTTTGTCACCCCTTTCCTGTGCACAGCTGTACCAGGGAAAAAAGGACTCTAGAAATGAGTGGCTTGCTTTTTAGGGTCAGAGTATTTCTCCTGGAGGTTCAAAAGTTTTCAGTTATACCTGTTTATGCTTTAAATAGCTAGGGGTATTGTACTGATATTTTACTGGTGAAAGACTTCTAAATAGCAAAGGGAAATTGATAGTTCTCCCTATGGATCTTTGAGAAATTTTCCAGTAAACCATGCCTGGGAGCAAGTAAATTTATCCATATCCCTGATATCTGAACTATGCTGGTAGGCTCAGTTCCTTTGAAGTCAGTGCTCATTGCAGCTAGGTTCCTAAGAGGGCACTTTGGCCAGTGAGGAGGCACAGCGTGAAGAGAAACCTAAAAAGCTTCTCAAATGTTTTATTCATATTGAACTTATTTTTCAAATTTTACAAACATCTGTAACTGCAGCTGAGCTCAGCTGGGGGTTCAGCTCTGCAGAGAATCACACCCAGTCTTCTTGTTTAGAAAAAGATGTGCAACTCCACTAGGTTATTTTAAAGTATAGTTACTGTGTTTAAGAAAATACAGACATGGTTTCTTAGAGAACGATATTGCACTGGTAGATGTACACTCACCTGCTTAATCTATTTTTTTTTCTATAATCTATCTTATAATCTACTTTTTTTTTCTTATAACAGTTGGAGAATACTTTGCAATCAACTACACTGCACTTCTTGATGGGGAAAAAATGTGGAACGGCAGGGTCTTGACACTGCCTGCTAAGCTAACTTTCAGGAGTTCATCACTGGTATTTCCTTTACAATTTTATTTTGCTCTTCAAAATTTCTATTAAAAAAAAAAACCCAAAAGTCTGCATAAGTAATGAGGTCTGTGTGTCATGCAATGAGGCTCTTAGACTCCCCTCTCTGGTTGATCACCATGAATTTATATATACCTGAGTTATTCTTCATAAATGGTGAAAGTCCTAGGCTTCCTTAAATAGGTGAAGGATGAGAGGTATATTGTTTATATGTTAACTTTTAGCTTTTCTCTCTACTTTTTGTATTTTTCTCCAGTTCACCTCTGTATCGTGAAAATGACAATGGTTAACACTTTTAGTTTGTTTTATGTTCATTGCAAATGATTTTGTAAGATGGAGTTCCCTGTCATTTGTGAGGAATTGAAAGTTTTGCTGTATTTTTTTGGAAAATATTTTCTTTTAACCAATAGCCAAGTGGCAGCAAAGGAAATTTTGATTGCTCGTAAGGAAGAAATTCTTTATAATGAAAATTGTTAAGCACTGGAGCAGATTTTTCAGAGAAGCTGTAGAATCTCCGACATTGGTGAATTTTCAGACCTCAGGTGCCCAGGCACAAGGCAAGTGATCTAGCCCTGGAGGATAGCCCTGCTTTCAGCAGTGGCCAGCACTAAGAGGCAGGACCAGCAGTTTCTTCCAAACTCAAGTTTTCTGATTCTTGCATTGCGGTTTGATATTTTCCCTATGGTTTTCATAACACCATGTAGTTAGAACCCCCAGATATAGCTTTATTTCCAACTGCTGTTATCTTTTTTGTTTTAGAGCGAAAAGCGTTTGATGTGCACAGGGGTGACACTAGAGAGGTATGAGGCATGACTTCCAAAACCAGGGCTGTCACAAGAGTAGAAGAGTCATGTGGGCATTTAGCACAGTTGATAGACGTGAGTCTTTTGGGCTGTGTTGCAAACCTTAATCCATGAAAGAGATATACGCTAACTTTGGGTGCTGTTCAGTGCACTTTCAGTCAACTCAGATTTTACAGGCAAAGGCAAAATATAGTTCTGTGAGCATCAGAGTAACCTTCTGTGTGGCTATGTGGTTAGACAGGCAGTGTATCCCACAGAGCAGCTGCTTCCATAGCTACTGGTGTTACCATTGAATATATTGCACTTTCCTATCAGATTTTTTTTCAGGTTTACATTTAATGAAAAGCATAGCTTTTCTTCCAAGCAGAGACCTCTGCTGAGACTCTGGGCAGTGAGCCAGTGTTATAGATTGGATTCTGCATGGTTTGTAACACTTGTAATATTTTTATCTCTCTCTTACATGTTCTCTTAGAACAAAACACATCTCATATCATTGACAACATCATTCACCATAACTGAAGAAGAAAAGACCAAGGTAAATTCTATGATTTGGTATTACAGTTATTTATAACTAATAGTTTATTCAATTTATTATAGGTATTATATATTGCTTAAGCGTATCAATGAACTAAATTAAATCCTTGGGTCTAAACTGGCATACTTTTATGTGCTTAAGTCTCATCAACTATCAACTATCAGCTATCAGTCATAGACAAATTTGGCCTTCTGTGATTTTAATAGGAAGATAAACAGGAGTCAAGTTAGTAGGGCTTTTTTGTCTTAAAGCACCAATATTTAGTATGGAAAATCTATACACTTTCAGTATGTTCCTAACAAGTTTTTTTATTTCAAAAGTTATACAGCTGCAGGGAACTGCAACGAGGAATATGTTCTCACGCTGCTAGGTATAAGTGCCATGAGAAAGCTATTTGCCTTTAAAAGGGTGCAGAATTTTTTTTTTAAAGAAAAAAATGTTTTTTGAATCATGCTGATACAAATGTCCATATGGGGAACCTGAGAAATAAACTATGCCTCTTTTACTGCAGTTTTAAGTTTCCTTTTAGTTTTTTGACCAGTCAGTCTTAACAATATGATTTCGTTTTCTTGACTTCTGAATTAACATGGTTTCTAGGAGGCCACATGAACCTACCAAATGACATTCATTTCGGCAGGCAGGGCTATTCTTCTACCTCCTTATTAGAGAACTCCCCACTGAATCTATCAGTATCTTTGCTAATTTCTTCACCAAGCTTGTATTTCCACCCTGACCCCTCACTACCCACACAGGCTGATTTGTTGCACTGGGTCTTGTTTAAGTAGCTGTTGCTTCGTTGGCAAGAACACTGCGATTATTTGTGTTCAGGAAGAAGAAAATAGTTTATTTCACCCCAAAGCAACGTTGCCATGGTTGTGTCATTTAGAGTCTAAAGGTCATGTTGATGGGGCAATTGAAGAACAAGTGGAAATGGAAGGGAAATATTGAAGACACAAGTTGCATAAGGAGGAGTGCAATGATTGAGTACACAGGAAGGGGCCTTTTGCTGGGAAGGTGCAGCAATGGGGTCCTTGAAAAGGGAGAGTATTACGAATTGAGAAGCTACTGAATGGGGCTGATATGTTCCATGTATTTAACCTCATATGATTTGTAAAGTGAAGAAGGTTACCAACAAGTGTGTCTGTGTTTAAAAGCTATAAGAAAAATTAATACCATTTCCATAGTATGTTTTAAGAATTCTTGAATGTATGCCATAAATTCATATTCCTAACCGTTGATCTTGCAGAGACTAGGTTTTTTTTTTTACTTTAATGTAGTCAAGTTTTATGCATTTATACAGTTTTAGTGCATCTGTCTTTATGAGAAAAATTCAAAATGTTCAGCTGAACTCTCTATTCTGAGATGTACAAAAAAGAGGGATCTATCTTACCTGAATGAGGTCCTGAGAATCAGAGCACTCATTCTTTTCACAGGCTTGTCCCAAGAATTCCCTTCTGCCTTCCAAGTCCGTTAGTCTATTTGGCCTTGTTGTTGCAGTATTCTACATCACCAGGGATCTCTTTTGCCCTCTTAACTTATGTTAGTGTAATAGATGTAAATCCAAACTTGACTTCCTCACAATTTGAAGATCAAGAGCCCATTCTGTTAAAACGAAAGCTAGAATTAAGCATGATATAAAGTAAACTCATGCATGAGCTGGAGAACTCATTGCCCCTGGGTAAGGATCTAGTCAGATTTAAAAGTATGGCATTTATAAAGATTGTGCTTGAAATGACAATAAATGTATTTTTTGCAAAAAGTATAAGCCACCCAGTAAGTGACTGGGTTAGGAAAATAGCTTCATGAATGGTTTACTGTAGGGTTCAGTGTGAACGAGCTGCAGTGGCTGGTGATGACTAAGCCAAGATTGTAAGCCACATTGGTCTTAGGCCATTGTAAAAATTGCTGCTGTATATTACTGTAACTTTAAGCCTTTATACTAATTTTTTTTGGCCACTTGAGAGAATGACCTCAACAAGATCTTTGGGACTATTCCATAATTAGGTAAACTTGTTCAGCTGCATTTGAACTTAATAAATGAACAAGTTTTGTAATTAACATGTATGAAAAAGGTGTGTGACAAATACTCTTAATGTTTGAAAAAAATCAAAGCTTAGAAATCATGGAACACGTCATGTTTCACATGTATAATACTGGCCTTTGGGCTGTAGTCAGGCATGAAACATTTCGGAATTAAATCAGTTTGTGCAAGAAAATTACAGTCAGCTGAAAAAGGTGAGATGTATTTCATCCTTATCTTCAGCTGTCAAAAATACTCTCAGTCTCCTTATTAATTAAAATAATTATTTGCAACTCTTCATGTGTGTGGTGAAGCCGATCTACAGGCATTACTATTTGGATACTAAATGTTGTCTTTTGAGCTAGAAAGGTAAAGAATTAAATATGCAGTATTGGCTATACCATGCTAAGTTGGTCCTGTCAACCTTCACATGGTTTGATTGCTTACTTTGTCTGTCATGCCATTCTTTAAAATTTTACAAACACTGGGGATCTTTTCTTCTGCTCTGCTGGAAAAAAGTGCTTGGTTGCCTGTAACAAGATAATTCTGTGGATAAAAAATTAGACTGCTGCTCCGCTGAGTGTCAGTGCCAGATGTCTTCCCACAGCACTTTGGGGGCTGTGAATACTGCATGCCTGTGCCCTCAGTTGAACGTTTTTGATGCTGAATAGGAAGCCATAGCGAAAAGGGCAAAAGGAAGTTCTTGTGACGAAGTGCACTGCATGGCATATGTGATAATAATTACTTTGACCTGATGTTTTGTCAGGCCTGTTTCCCTCAGCTTCTGTCAAATCAATGGGAATGCAACGGTTCTGAAAAAAAAAGATCAAGCCAATAATGCCTCTTCACTTCACAATATCAAAGTGACTTAAGTTAGTTCTGGATATGGGTTTTGGGGCTTGCTGATGTGTCAGTGATTTGAAGATTGGCTTCTGTGCTGGCTACACCGTGACTGTGCAGGGGCTTAACTCACGCTCCCGAAGCATACACGGTGATGCTTTAAAATGTTACAGCCCGTTAGATGCTGCCCTGTCCTTCTGCTGGAGATGACAGCCCCCCAATGAAATGGAGGGTCCCTCCCAAACTCATTTACTTTAAGTATAAAAGCACGTGTAATTCTTTAGCCAGGAATTTTTCTCCATCAGTTCTGGTAGCGCTCTCTGCCCTGTTGCAGCTTGACGGTCCCCCACCAATTGGTCTCATCTTTTACTTAACTTAAAAAGCCTGGATAATTCCCTACCCAGCCCTTTTCCTCTGTCAAACTTCACCAGCTTCCGTTCAGCTTTACTAAACCCGTACCCCTCACCATGTTCCTACTTTCACAAAAGCCTAGGAAAGATCCCTAAATTACACAGTGCTTGGAAATTTGACAAATGCAAGTGATTTCAGACAAAGTAATTATGTCGTTCCAAAGCAGGGTTTTTTTGATTGTTTTGTCTTGGGGTTTTTTTTGTTTTTTTGCTTTTGTTTTTAAGTGTTTTCTACCAGAGTCTCCCGTTCCGTGAAATGTGTGGGACGCCAGGCTGAGCCTGGCTGTAGCAGAACTCAAGGAGAGTGACTGTGTGATTTTCTCTGTTGCCATCTAGCGCAACCAGGGAATTTGGGGGCCTTGAGACTGGCATACGAGGAATTGCATTATTTCAAGCCACACACAGATGATAGTGAGCTATGTGACTGTTCAAGGGGTGTGGGCTGGAGGAAACAGAGCCCTGTTGATCTGTGACGGGAGTAAAGAGTGGGTTGGGGAAGGAAATGTTTAACATTTACATAATCATTTTTCAAATAAATTTGAAGATGACAGTATTTTGATGAAAGTGCTGCAGCTTTAGTTGAGCTCCTGGCAGGGAGTTAGGAGGAAGTACAGAGTCAGGCGAGGCGTGAGTCGCTACTGGCACTGGCTTACACGTTGTGCAGCGTTACTCCATCATGGACAGTGGTGCAGAGCAGCGTAACTGAAGCAGTAGGCCACAGTAACTTCAGATGATCGTCAAGAAAAAACATTGAGACAATGCATTGGTAATTACACAGGGAACTGAGAAAGGAATGTGTTCTTCCTCTTCCCCTCCCTGCCCCATATAAAACTTAGAGGTATTGACAGAATTCAGTACATGGCTTACTTACTCAGATAAAGATTTAGTCCCAAAACATTTTAGTGAACCTCAAAGTGATCTGTATTTCATCATTTTAAACTGAGTGCGTTTAAAATAAATTCCCCCCCATTTCTCTCAGTCCGAGCAATTGTTGACTCTTCATATACAAGACCGTCAGTTAGCCTTGGGTCTTAACTTGAATTACTTGACTCCGTGCAGTGCTCTGAGGTTTCTGCTCTGAGAAATGACCAAGCCCTGTTTGCGAGCTACGTGTTAATTATTTACAAGTTCTAGCCCTGGCAGAGGGATTATTTTGTGGTGAAACATTATACTAATGGCTATGCTATGTTTTTCATCCAAAGATCTCAAAGAGCTAAACAAACATCGAATTAACTTCTGCTATGTGGAGTATGAAGTAAAAATTAATTTTTAATGTAATTCAATTTAAAGATTATGTTAATACCTAAACTGTAAGGCCTGTTGAGAAGTTAGCTGAGTTGTGGTTCTTGCACTCCTGCTATCCTTTCTTGACTTTGGCTCCTGCAGAAACTGCAAGCATGTAAACAAATTGGGTAGTTTTGTCAATTGTCGGTTACATATTTATTCTAAACTCAAATTGGTACTTTTTCCCTGTATTGATTACTGAGTTTTGTTGAATTTAAAAAATGGGTGTTAATTTGGGTAGCCAACATCAGACTGATTTTCCAGAGCTTCTGAGTGATACCAAATGCCGTTAATTTCAACCAGAGTTAGGAGAGGTTGACGTCTCTATTAAGTATTGTGGCTATTGAGTGTTGTCCCCTCAGAAGTCACATCACCTAACATTCAATCTGTTTGAGTTCTATTGTTTGGAATCACACGGGAATTTAGACTAGGTGAACATGGTGGAGAACGCTGACATTTAAATCTGTGGAAAATAGACATTGGTTTGAAAATATTAATAGAACTGTAGGAGTTACAACTCTCCAGTATTGAGAAACCCCGAAGTTGTGTGAAGCCATTTGAAACTAATTTACTGTGTTTTTTACAGCTATAATCTTTAGGTGTATATTTAAAATGTAGTTTTAATAATACAGTCTTTTCGTTTCAGATTTCATACAGCCATGGCATTCATGCTGCAGGGTTCTTCATTGCTTTTCTTGTTTCCCTTGTATTAACGTGCGTTGTTTTTTGTGTTGTTTACCGAACCCAAATATTAAAATGGAGCTTCCGTAGTAAAAACCAGGTGAGTCATACTTTTTAACAACATCTTATTTAACTGTTGCATCATAGCTAATGATATAACATGCTAACTAATAGAGATTACGTAAACCATTTTTGAAGACAAAATAGCACCAAGTACTGGGTTGGATTCTCACGTATGTATATCTCTGCATATCTTTAGCATGATTAGATTTGCAGAGGAGTGTAGGAATGATAATGTGTTCAGAAGAGCTGCTGTCGAGACAAGGATGTTCAAGGTCAAGGTGAAGGAGATCACTCTTTGGCCCTGAGCTTTCCTTCTTCCTCCTCCTCTTCCTCCTCCTGGGAATAGAGATTTGAATGTAGGTTTCGGTTCTTTGGACACGCCTGAATCTCTTGCGTGGCTGAGCAAAACAATTGGGTTTTGAGGTGGAGCACTGCAAGTGTTCTTCATCTAAGCTGTGCCAGTTTGTAGAAAGTGTTTCAGTGCACACTGAGAGAAGAGAGAGAGAAAGAATACATGGTTTGATAAGTATTCATCAGGTTGGCCCAAGTTGGAGAGCTAGCTTGTATACTTATGTGAAGTGGAATAACTTCCACAGAAGAGAGCTGGAGACCTCAGTCCAGAGCATCATGGTGATGAGGCAGTCCTCTAGAAGAGCGGATGCTTGGAGGTTTGAACCCCTGCTCTGCTCAGGTGGTGTTGGGTCTCCCACATCCCACTAGAGTTTCTAGCCCCTAGGCTACTGGGGTAGCATCACTCCGTCCTTTGTGATTTGGATTGGCCACGGTCAAGTCAATATGTCAGTATGTCTGTGGGTTTAGGATGGGAACACATGACGGAGGTGAGAAACACATAGTCTGAGAAATCCCTCTGGGCTTAAGGGGTGGTATAAACTGTGCTCGCTGGTGCTCTGAAGTTGAGACGGTTCACACTGACAGAAGTTTCAGGGGTAGCTCTGTTGCTAACTCTACCGTTGGATTTCAGTCTGAATTTTCTTCGCTAGAGGTCTGACTTTTACAAATTAAAGCTTTCTGGGTGTTTTGAGTATATAAGGAAAGTGTCTGTATAAAGATTTCTAAAAAATTCCCGGAGAAGTGTAAATAAAGTTAGATTTGGTTTAGACATTGCAATGTGTATGCGTATGTGGCTGCCTGGAGAGCTGTGAGGGGTTTTTATTCCTCCTGTACAAACTGGCTTTAAATCTAATGAACCCTTTAGCTGCAGTTCTTGCTGGGGAAGGTAGTACTTTGGCTCATTTAGAGGAGCCAGGAGGCATTGCCTGTGCAAGAAATACGCTTCAGAGGACGCCGGTTCCTCTCGGTTGCCTTCAGTTTACCCTGCAGAGAGAACCGCCTCACCAAGCCCAGAAGGGTGGCAGTCGTCCCAGGTCCTTCCATTGCCTGGGCGGGTTGTGGTGGTCGCTGCTCTCCCTGCTGGGATGCTTTCTGACAGCGTGCGCTACGCTTAGCCTGAGATTAGGGAACTGAAACGTCTGCGGGCAAGGGGTGGTGTCTGACACTGCTCGGGGACGGAGAAGGGCCAGTTTGGAAATAGGAAAGAGCAACTCTTGGAGACGTCGGCTATTGGGGATTGCTGCGCTCAGGAAGACATCTGGGAAGAGTTACAGTGGGGGGCAGCCTATGTCAGAAGCCGGATTGGCCTCACTGGCGATAATTTGTTTCTGGAGCAGCTCTATGCAGTAGCGTTTATACAAATATGAGTATCAGTTTCCTATCTCTAACTGAAAGTGCTGTGTCAGATGTAACTTTTGACACTGTATAATAAATTTTGAAGAAAATGCAAGGGCCAGGCCGTCTATATATGGTTACAGGAAGCAGCAAAAAGTAGGGGAGAAAGGCGGGGTTTTTTGTGGTTTATGTTCCATGGACAATTTATTTGATGTTTTCTGTTATTTTTGAGAAATGACACAATAAGAGGAAAGATTTTTTTCTGTTTGGAGTAACCATTCTGCCTAGTGTTAGGCCTATCTCAGTGTGCAGGGTGCATCCTGGCTGGGGCCAGTGGATGGACCAGACGACCTCACAAAATCACTTCCAGCCTTATTCTCTGTCGCTGAAAATTACTCTGTTAACAATTTTTGTTTCTCTGAGGCCTGAAGAAATAATCTCTATAAATGGAAAGGCCTTGCCTTGTTTCTTTTTATGGAGAAGGCTGTGATAATGAAATGATAAAAATGGACCAAATTGGTCCCAGCATCAGAATTTATAGCAACTTTTTTGTGTAGTATTTTTATTAGCCATCACTCTCCAGGGAGTCTGTCTGACCTGTGAACTTGGTGAGTCACTTCCATCGTTCATAGGATTAGTGTTTCATTTTGTTCCCTTCATAATCCTGTATTCTTGCCATCCATAATGTGTATACCATAGTAATTCTTTTTTAAATTTCTTAGCAGTTCATAGTGGAATATAACCTCCTAGAAGATTTCTGCAGGCTTACTGAAGTCAGTAGAGAGTCTTCTGTCCTCTCCTTTGATTTATTTGTATTCCAGATTGGTTATATAAAAACGTTCAGCCTGAAACAAAGTAGAAGTGTGTTTGATCCTAAATCTGTACTTGAACTACACAATCTCTTTACACTCTCTCCGGCTTTATAGTTTGATGATAAATGAGAGTCTTTCCACTTACTCACTGTTACCTACAGTGGAGTAAGATTAAGCTCTCAGTGTAAAATGTGTATAATCTGAAGCTTGCTTTTTTATTATTTTTTTTTAGGAGCTACGGCATGAACTCAGTCAAAATCACAAACTGGAACACTTTCAGTTTAATTCAGGTGATCTCTTTAGTGAAGATATAATTATGAATGACCAATTCATCGATATACTATATTTTGAAGAATCTGGGAACATGCTTCGGGCTTTAGAAGAGTAAGAATTTACTGTTCTTACATTACATTTATCATCAGCTGAACCTTTGAAAAAATGTTTTTGAGTACCTGTCATTTAATTTTTTTCATAGTATCTGTTTAGGCATATGACTGCAATCCTTGAAGTTTTTGGACAGTATTAAATAGCCATCTGTGGGAACTGAAAATTGTCATATTTTATATTGCTTTATCTATATAAGTCACAGCTCCATCTAGGCTTTAGGCCTGCAAATTTTCCATTTCAGCTGAAATACCACTTTTGCTTCTCTGTGGTTCCTAATGTAAAGGCAAACTTTCCTGGGTACAAAAAATGTTGAAAGGGTATATTTTATTATCACCTAACACATTCAGCTCTCAAAACAGTGTGGCTTTTGTCCTAGAAAAGTGATCCCCTACCGGGTGCCAGCGTTTTTCTGCAGCAGCATCTTTTGGAAACAGCTCGATCAGAATCTAGGGAGTGACAGTTTGTAGTGCCAGCAGAAAGATATCACATAGATGGAATCAGAAAGACCGCTTGGTAGAGCAGAGAAACTCTCCTATTTTGTTGAAAGGCAAGTTAGGATTATATGACAGAAACATGCAGCTATTAAAGGTCATCTGTTCGTCAGCAGAATTTGAAAAAAGGTCTGAAAGAGTCTATTTTGTTGTTCAGTCTTATAGTTAGCTCCTGGCAAGTCAGGTTTCAGGCAATATTATGCAACTATAAAATCTGTAGAAGCTGAAAGCAAAAGTTACAGGAGCATGAAAGTAATTTTCTTTCTTAAAGTATAACTAACTGAATTATTATTTCATGCATTTCCTCGGTAATTGGGATATTTATCTCTGTAAATTGCACGTTGGTCCTTGGTTTTATAACTATATAGCAATACAGGTTTTAGGAGAGTTATCCTGAAAATTGTTATGTGAATTTTCAAAAGAACAGGATCAAGTATATTTTTAACTCACTATAGTATTAATTTATTTTAGGGGTAGGGAATATCTAGCTAATTTTAACAAAAATACTGGGCTATTTATTTAATGCCTTATTTTCAGATGTGCTGTGGTTTAGAAAGGTAAATATTCTTGCAAATCTTTGTATAGGGTTATTTATATAACTGGATTATTTATATAACTAAAACCATACAACGGGATTCATTTCTGAGTTTGAGTCTTGGGGCTATAGCTTTTTAATATTCTTATGCAGTCAGCACAAGTGTCTCTCTTGCTTCCACTTCTTCCATCACAGGTTCTAATTTTTCCCTTCCATATCCCCTTTTTTCTTTTTTTTTAAATCACAGCACTTTGTCTGTCTCCTTCCCTTTCCAAAAGTTTCCTTTGCTTAATAGTGTGACCTTTTATTTTTTAAAATTAATTTTACGTTGTAATATGAGACATCATTTTACAGCAAGACTGGAATTACTATATATAAGCGAATATCGATATAGCCGAGGTTTGCTGGATGATTGGAGTTGTTGTAGATAATCCTTGTGACTGGTTGTATGGAGACAAACCTGGCCACAAAACAGATGCTTGTTTGAAACATGCCGCAGTGATGACAGTGAACGTGGGCAGCAGGATTTAAGTGGCTAAGTCTGTTGTACGAGTTTGAAATACTACTTCAAAAACTGCTTCAAAAGTGTTTGGGTTGGCAGCTCACCTGAAAAGAGAAATGCCGAGATTGCCTTGTATCTTTGACTGTTCAAGAAAATAAAAGGATTTGTCTCAGCTGTACTTTTAAAGGTCAGATAAAAAGGCCTGGATAGCCTGAAATAACTAGAGTAGAAAGAACTGCCTTTGTCTCATTACGCCGTGCTGTACAATAACTGCAGATACACTCACAAGCTGCATTTCAGGGATTTATCTGTCTTCTGGCACCTGGATTCATTTATGTCTCTTTGGGGAACATATTTGGCCAGAGCATCTTTATTGACGAGTCTTCGGGTGTTGAATAGCGCTTCCTATGCCCAGCAGCCTTCCTGCCCTATATGACTTTATCATATAGAATATAATGATCATAATTGTCATCAGCTTATTTTAAGTATTGTATGCAATCTTTACTAGAACTACATTTCACATTGCTGAATTAAACAGCCTCCATATGTCTAATGTATATCTTAGCAAACCTGTAAGAATTATGAACTATAAAGGAAAGAAGATTTTTCTGGCTGAAAACTGTGGCTTAGTTTAAATTAATGTAAGTAGTTATCAGACTTGGAATTTGCTTGGGATTTCACTGACCACAGGAAACAGGAAAAGTTTATAAGATTTTTAAGAGCATGCGGAATTTTATTCTGCATGTGGAAGACAACGTTTTTTATAGCAGCATTCTCTGATATCCTGGTGGACTGTGGGTTCAGTAGGACAGAGTGCTAACGTTTATAAATGGCTAATCCTGTAATGCCTGAGTTTTACCTAAAACATTCGCATTTGATTTATCCATCCATTAATATTTGCTTAATTTATCATCTCTTATCGTTTCAAAGCTTGGGAATTGGTCGATTGTGAATGTCCCAAATCAGCCTTTTGGAGAAATACATTCATTGTGAGGCCTGGAGAAGCTGCTGGCTGTTTAGGGACTTTACTTGCTTATAATTGCTGCCTGCTCCTTTTTGCCCCCCCCCCCATCACTTCTGTTCCCTTCTCTCTGCTGGAGGGAATGCGAAAAAAACAAGAGTGTTGTTGACAATAATGTCTATCCAATAGCTGCATTCCTGTTCCTCTCATCTCTTACCGGTGGTGCAATTTATCTGACCACATGAGGGTCTCTGTAATGTGGACGTCTACGCTAAATTGCCCTAAGCGCCCTCTTTTACTCAGTGATGAAAAAGGATATGGTTCCCTTCTAGGATGTGATTCTTCTCATCCTAAGGCAGACGTCAAAAAAAAAAAAGTCGTATGGCAGCTGCATCCACTGACTCTGAAGTCTGGAGGCTGGACCGATTAGCTCGGCTGTCGGTGTCTGGCAGTAGGCGAGAGGAATCCAGCCTTGCAAGGTGATTGCCCAAAAAGGTGACAGCTTTAGCGTAACTCCTGTATTGGATAGACACAATATTCTTTCCGATTTCTTCAGTAGCCGTAATACAGACGTTGCCTTACCTCTCATTGGTACAGTTAGATGTACACGTGTTACATATGTAACGTTGTTATCACCCTTCCATGACATTTAGCTGGAGAAGCTCCCCTTCGCTTGATGTTGGTTCCTCATTCATTCTGCGACTTGGGGCGAAGCAGACCTTTAACTTCTGACCTCAGTTCTGTAGAGGTTTCATCTCAGTCCTGTGCTTGTAGTTTGTTAATGGGTAATTGCAGTCAATCTGAATGGATTCTGTACTTGGAAGGAATGCCATTGTTTTTGTAGTTGTGGTCGCAAAATCAGTTTTTCTATAGCTTTGCGTTTTGTTTCATTACATTTAATGTCACCCAGTAGAACAGATGGGTTTTCTGACACTTTGTACTTCAGTAGGTGGTTTTGTAGGCTGTAAGGAAGTGGGGAATGAGATCAGAGTTGTCTCACAGGAATGGCCAGTACACTGAGGATGAGAATTGGACTTGTGTTTTGAGCCCAGGGTTTTCATGTCATATGTATGCTGAATGTGATTTTCAGCATGGTAATCCTGTTTTTTATTATTTAGGGAGGGAAAAGTATGGGTTTTGTGTTAGAGAGCTTTTGATGTTTTAGCTATTTTCAACCAGCTACTAAAATGTTGCTTACATTATTATTCAACAAGCGTGTTTTAGTTTGATAATTCCTTCCACATGTTGGTACGGCTACACTCGCTTTCTCTACATGGTACACAAATAAGCCTGCCATCATGATTGATATGTTCTCCTTAAATTGCATTGTGATAGTAAACACAGTTGGAATCATTCTGGTGCTTTGTTCTGTTGTGCTGACAAATATGAGCAAATTATTCAGAAAATTAAGAATTTTTTGTCCTCTTTACAATATAAAGCTAGGTTAATAGTTAATGTCTTTTGTGAAGTGGCAGTGCCAGATTGTTTAGCAAATACATTAGGAGAATGTGATCAATATTTATGTACAGGGATGTCTGTGGAACGTAGACAGTTTACAATGTCAAGAGGATTGGCTAGAGAGCAAAAACATTTTTAAAATTTCATAAGGAAGCTTCCTAGTTACTTGTTTTATGAATTTAGCCTTAGTAAGTCGTATCCTTGATGCACATTATGCAGCAAAGTAATTTGGTTTTTATTCTCAGTAGGTTCCTTCCTGAGTATATTCCTGAATATTGGTCCATTGGCAATGAATGCTCATAAGAAGCTATATGATTTGGACTTGTGCACTAGAAAATCATGTTCCACAATGTTGTAGGTCTCTTTACTGTGCTTCTGGAACAGAGCACAAAGATAGCTGAGCAGTTTGCTTTTGTGACTAATGTGATCAAGTCTGACCACTGTGGCATAGTCACAGAAGGCAGAGATATTTTAAAGGAACGTGATTTTTTTACAATGGCTTTCCACTGCTCCAGCTCTTCTTTTTCATCTTCATTTTGTACAACTATGCTTACTTGAGTTGGGCTAAGCTCTAGCTGAGTGTCTTGCTGAACTTGAGCCTGTTTGCTGATACACAATACATATAGCCGATTATTTTGGCAAATCATTAAGTAATAAGTATGCGTTGCAGTTAATTTTTTTTCTAATGATACAGGGCATTGAGGCCAATATGCTAGAGAACAAGATCAAACTGTTTCCAGAGAGCCTTGACCGGAAAGTCAAAAACAATTTACTACTATATTAGAAGTTCAGTTTTTCTTTCTAAATGTAAATTTCTCACTGTACATCTCAATTTAATTTGCCATGGAGCAAATGCTTTTTTTTTGTCATCCTGGATTCAAATGGAAAGTAAGAATAAAAGATCACACTGTCGTAGCAGCTAGACCTGAATATTTCTACATAGAAAATGGTGACAGATTGTTGAATTGTTAGTACAACAAAATAGAGGTGTTACATTTCTTTTAATTTTATATTTATTTTATATTTATTTATATTTATTTTACTTTTTTA